TTCGACACTATGACCATAAAGTGATGAATGAGGACTATAGCGTTGGTGCGGCAGTCATGATGAGGGTTCACGCACGGCGGGTGGGAGTGTCCCCAAAACTGCAACCGAAGTTTAATGGTCCCTACATTATCACAGAAGTCCTAGCGATGTCGTGGTTAGGGTGCAGAAGGGTCCAAGGCATAAACCGAAGGTGGTCCATACAAACTTGCTAAAACCATTCCATGGCGAAGTGGACCACTCCTGGTTCCATCGAGAGACAAACTCAACCTCCGCTGAGCCGATGCAATAATCCGACGAGTCCTTGTTAATGAGCGACCAGGACGTGCAAGAGTCCCATAACGAGAAAACCGACACAGAGGAAGGGACAGTTGAAGCCAGCCCGGATGAGGCTAGAAATGACGATAGTACCAGACAGTCCAGGTCAGACAGTCCAGGTCCCTCAGCGTCTGTTACAGAACCACCATCAGACCAGGAACAAGCCTCTCCGCCAAGTGCCAACAGTAACGATCAACCAGTTTCCGTGAAGAGGAGGCGAAGGCCTCCCGATAGATTTGGCGATTGGTGTTTGTAATGCTCAGTTTCCCTGTTACGTTTTGTTCTGTTGACTGCAGGCTAAGTATGGACCGAAGCCGTTCCCCAATGGACCGAAGGAGCCCCAGAAAGTACAACCAATGCGCAGAGTGCAGAAAGGAGTTCTCATCTCAGTCAAGCCTGCGACGCCACATAGATGAGCAGCATCGGCGCAAGGACAAGTTGAGCTGCCCCTACTGCTCCCATTCCTTCGTGAGGAAGCACGACCTGGACCGTCATTGGCAGTCCGTACATGGTGGCATCCAGAGGGCAAGTCAGCCAGTTATAATTGAGGACCAGCCCGATCCTTTGGTACCGCGAACCCCTGGCCGGAGTATCGACATGGTGAGTCTTGAACCTGGCAGTGTGGAGCGGAGAATCGTAAGAGATTTCCATTCCCCGCCGCCGGTACAGCGCCAGAAGTCTGTGATACCTCCAGTGGTACCCGTCCAGTCTGCCATCATCCCTTTGGCTACCAGTGGGTCTCGCCGTCCTGCCATCAAGGATGCTAGCGTCCAGCCACTGTCCACCTCACCTGGATCAGTTAAACACGATTGAAATATGTAGTTACAGCTTTCCTGTCATATCAGTGAGCATTGATCATATATCAATGAGGGAATTGTGTTGTACGTTTGCACAATTTGATGCATGTGTAGTGCTAACCATATGGCAGGTTGATAACCATCATGGCGGACTGATGACATTAAGCAATTGGGTATGTGGCTCTGATTGGTCAACATGTCTAAGGGCCAAGCTTACTGGATTGGTATATTGTAATGTAACAAACGCCTCTGGTGCCTGAGGACTCTGCCGGAGCATGCACCGCCGGAGCCCTGTATTGACTGTGAATCATGAACTCTGTGAACTCTATTGTGTTTTTGGGGTCGTGCTGTGGCTCCGGAAACACGCCTGTAATTGGACACCTATTTTGCGGTTGCGGCCGGGTGCAAAACAATAAGAATTGACGCGCCTGGGAAACTCAGTTGGGCCACTGCCAAAATTGAGTGGTTGTAATTGTGCTGTATAACGAAAACACTGTACATGTAGTAGTCTGGAAAAGTCGTTGAAGAAGAACGGCTGAATAAAATGAGTGTGTGGTATTCTGACAACTGGAGAACCACTCGTTTGATTGTTGGCGTTTTGCCCGATCTAACAAAAAACCTACGAAGGTCTACGCTACATGAATACTTATGCTACGTTTTTTACGCAGTGTTGCTTGAGTTACTGTCAGGTCTAGAGAGAGCTAACAGGCTAGTGGCAGCATTGTTCCATATTTGTTGGGGGACAAATACATGTATTTATGTTTTATGTACATGTAGGTAGAGACTGAATTTAACCCCTAGGTTGCAGTGAGTTCCCGATCCTGGGCAACATGGTTCATTGAACAAATTGCATGTCTATATTTCACACCACAGTGATGTTTGATTATGAAATTGTGAAATTTCTAGTACTGGAGTTCTGTAGACACTAACTGAAAGTCAGGTGTGCTGGTATAAGAGACCAACTTCACACAGCAAAGTCACTACCGGTATTTAATTTTATTCTTATTATAGGTTAAAACACATCAAAGAACACGTCCAAAAAGGCCCTGTGTTTACTGTGAAGAGGCACAGTCTCAGCTTACCCATCACCTACGAAGGAAACAACCGTACATGTATTCAATTAATTTGATGAGTGCAATCTGCTCACAAATGTTTTTAAAATAGATATATTGCTTAATCTGTCCGGACAAGAGGGTCTACCTTTCTCTTACAATGAAAGAAATTCTATCTAATAGAATGGTGCTTTCTGCTCTGATGTTGTTCCTATTTTTGGTTTTTTTGAGCTTTTCCCATTTGACGAAGCAAATGTGCAAATGTGCACTGTTGATGTGTATTCCAAAGTATTGAATATATAACAAGGTGGGCTTACAGTGTTTACAAGCAGTAGCATATGACGGCTGAAATATATGCTTTAAAAACTGGTCTGGTTCTTGGGAAATTTAATCCCAGCACTGCAATTGTTTTTGATTGTTTGTGTTGGATTCATAACACCTATGTATGTGGTCTTTCTGCGCCTTCATTTTTAAAGCTCCAAGGTGATAAATGAATGTTCCACTGATAAGGACCTGAAGACCATGTCACATACAGCACATGATAAAGAACTTCAGTGCTGGTGTACATTTACCTGGAAAATAAAAGGAGATGCTTGCAGCGTGTGTAAGCTTGCCTGTTAACTTATGAATGGATTGTTGCGTTTGTCAGCAACAACTGCTGGCTTTGGTGAAGTCATCTGCTCTCTTGCTACACTTGATTATTACAAACACAAGATATAAACATTGATAATTGACCGATAACATAAACAACAGAACAGAAACTACTCCTATCAACAGATGAAATGTATTTTGTTACACTTTTGATCATTCCCAATACAGTTGTGTGGCATTTTATGCTGTCAAAGTTGAGTTATTTCCCATGGGGACCCCCACTCCTTTCTTTATTGTGTGTTCTGCTTTAAAGCAATGGGAACTACCCTTTCATAAGTAACTGTATGCAATTGTTTCACTAATTTATCACAAGATATCTGCCCACAGAGTTTCAAATTTGTGAATATAACTGAACACATTTTTATCAGTCAACAACATTGAAGTAAGAGAACATTGAAGTAAATATGAAGCAATATATCGAACGTTTATTTTTTAAAGGCTGGTGAAAATAGAACAGTGTGAGAGTTTGTTTTTAGTTGCACCTTTTTCATTATAACTTTCCAGTTGGAGTTTAATGTCATGTTGTGAATTTGGGTGTGTAATCAAAAGTATAATTACTATTTTTTTGCAATACATTATTATGCTACTTCCCCTGATTGGCATTGTGTTACCTATTACATTAATTGCTTCGAAGAACACTTTTAAATTGTAATTGTAGATGTAATCTTATATGCGTTTTCCCTCATTTTCGTCCTTTGTTTATGTGGAATTTTTATCTGCAAGACCCAGGAAAATAAGACACCCAAGAAACATGTCACGTCTGTACAAGTGGTAGGCCTATGTACCTAAAATTTGTCATTTTTGAGAGCTGCAAATTAAAGCAAATGCAAATAAGTCTGTTGTGTACTGACACCGATTTTTGTCTGTCTGGCAATCTGTTGGACCATTTGTGCACCCAGTGGCCGACCATTTGCAGTTTAGCTCATTGTTAACGGTTTTGATTTTTGCTTAAGTTTTCAAGTTGTGAGACATTTCATACTATTCACAAATTTCAGGTGAATTTCTCTATTCCTCTTCAGTGGTGTAGAGGGTCTCATCCATGAATGTTGGAAATATTAAAGCTCTTGAGAAAAGTTAGAGGTTTTTACAATCCGTCTCTGGGTGGCACATGGGGTCTCAATGTTCAGACTCCGTTTTAAATTCGCTTAAAACAGTAGTTACACCCCTAGATGCTTTCGAAGTTACACTAAATTGGTGTCTCAGAGTTAAAACGGTGATTTAAAATACCTAAGAGGGAGGGTTTAGCAATTAACCAAAACGGTTTTAACATTTAGTACAGTGGCTAGAAGGTTTTAGCAAGTGCAGTGACCTAGAGTTACAAAAAACACAGGGTAGTCTAGCATCCATGCCTGCATGCCATCATATTGCGTTTGCTACATGTAGTTTCCGCAGGCATGTGTAGCACTACTACCTGCACTATGCACATGATTTTTACCTTTTCCGGTTTGCGTTTTTGTTGTGCCAACTCTTCTTACTTCTTTTGTTGATTTTTTATATAAAGCAACCATTAAGAAAATAACCTCCATGGTCAACGGTTCTGATAAGGACAGAATTTACACAGCCCCTAGTGAATGAACATGGAGTTGTAAATCTGTGGGTGATCCATGCAGTAGTGATCGTTGTGCTGTGTCTCTAATTCCACCTTGAAAAAGCAGTCATCGGCCTTTTGATTTATTGTTTTCCTTTAACGAATATCCAAGTTCTAATCCCATTAGAATTAATAACTGATGAGGTTCAATTTATTTTTTTCTTTTGCTGAAAATGTATGAAGAACATTTCAATCCGAACCAATATTTTTAAACGTAGTTAAGGCAGAAAGTTGTGACCGAATGTGGTAACATGGTAAATTTCACCCCAGTGCGGCTTCCAGAAGGTTGTTAAGTATATATTGGAAAGAAATGTTAAGGTTTTAGGAAGTTTGTGCTGCTTATATTATGTCTTTGCTCAAATCAAAATGAAATTTTCAGGTCAAACGTCAGTGTTTTGTATCTTTAAAAGTATTATAGTGTGTGATGCTGTGATGGCTAAGTGACCGTGTGAGGGTTTGAAGTGACTGTGGAAATCTTATACACACAGATGCCTCCTAGGTCTGATTTGGCCGGCCTTGTACATCCATCACCCCAATGTTTCTTTTTCGTGTTTCCTATTGCAGTAGGACCTTTGCCTTGCGTTTTGCTGATGTTAATTTATGTATCTTGTGGCGGGCAATTTGATGTTAATTGTGTTTTTTTTTCGGAGGTACACATCGGGAGGGTAAAACACCACCTAAAGCAGAACACAGACCATATGGTCTCCACCCACTGTGCAGACCCCGCACACAGACCCTAGCCTGCCCTCCCAAAAACTTTGGTTTTGGTTTTTCTTGTTGCAGTACACTGCTGAGACTTATACTTGAATTCTACTTAATGGTAGAATAGATCCAGCAGACCCCGTCATGCAGGCACCACCCAAACCCATCACTCTATTTTCACTTAATTCTTTATTTTTTCATTGCATTGTATCTTTGAAACTTTTCCAGAACTTATATACTGCAAATCAGAATACAGACCTGTGACAATAAATTGTTCTTTGTATATGTACAATAACTTTGATATCTTTGACAAGCCATGACAGTATTGCTGTTCATAGTTGTTCAATGCATCACTGCAATGTACTGCAAGTTCCACTTACTGAAATCATATTTCTGTCTACAGGTTAAAAAACCCAGACATTCAAAATCCAAGACAAAACGCCCTGTAATTTTTGCTCGAAAGGGTAAGGATTTTGTTTACATACCAGTAATGTCAACTAATACACCCATGTACTGACAGTGCAATCGTATATTTGTTGTGGTGAATGATGGGAACAGTAGGGTTACAATAAATTCTTTAGAAGTTGAACACCCTGAATAGGAAGCTTTGACTCAGTTACCAGTTATGATGAGACCCCTAGCCAGTATAAATACATGTACAGGAATGTCATGTACATGTATTAGTTTAACTTAACCACTTCATCACTCATTGATATCCCAAATCAAATGAAATTACAGTACACATTTATGATTGTGCTCATTCTAATTTTTGTTTATTTCACAGAGGTTATACTACGTGGAATGAAAGAGACACAGCTTGTGTCAGGGATGGTTTCAAAGATTGGATAATGGGCAAGACGCATACGGGGGGCTAAAGGGTCTTTGCCAGGCAAGTTTATTTACTATGTTTGCAATACAAACATAGACTTTTTTCAAATGTTTGCTCCAGTTATTTTGAAGACTGTAAAAAACATAACCCTGTTTTTAAATGATAAAATCAGGACATGAAAGGATACCTCCCTA